ACCAACAGAAGAGTTAAAGTAATGTTCCAGGGTACTAAGTCTTAATTTCAAAACTAGAATACATTTTGAGGATACAAAAGTTTCACTAAAAAACACACTTACAATCCTTAGAACATAATTAAATTTTATATACTGTTTAAAAATATGTCCTGCTAAGAAATCATTGATATACTTTGGGTGCATATCCCTAATATTTTTAAGCCCACAGAGATTAAAATTAAAAATATAAAAGAAAAACAAAACAAAAACAAAAGTGTAAAAAGATATTTTAAAAGATTAAAAAATATAAATGCTATTATAAACTACCTTAATAGAAACCAGCGAACATGGATTTCTCATACCTGTTGGATAGTAGGCTTGGGAGAACTGTGCGGAGGATGTGTAGTTATTATATTTTTGGGAGGAGCTGACCATTGTTTGAGGACCTTGCTGAACATGCACAGATGTGGCACTAGGCTGCAGTGTGTAGGAAACCTCAGTTGGAAACCTCTGCAGTACAGGAAATGGAACCCCCTTATCTGAAAATGTAGACGATGTCTCCACTTGTCCAGGGTGCATCCCAAGGGAGTTCTGCCATGTTCTGGGAGGAATCGGGGTCCGATCTAAACCTTTCAGAGGGAAGGTGCTGTGGTTGTGGGATGAAGCTGATACGTAGGAATAAGGAGACAAACTATCTCGCCGGAATGATCGATGAAACTGTCCTATAGCCACTGGTCCTGCACAAAGAGAAAAGCACATTTATTAATTTTATATTATACCACCAGACATGGCAAACCAAAGGTAAAAAACTACTGTTCACCTATCACCTATTTTTAGCAAAAGTTTAGTTTTGGCAAAAAAGAAGTTTAGAATTCCAGATAAGAGATTGCACATACAATGATGAAAGAATGATAAACTTTTGTTTAGTTCTCAGTTTGACTGTCATAAGAGGTAAAGTGACCAAATACTAACAGGAAATCAAAGGTTAAATTAAATATTCAATGTTAAAAGACTTCTACAGATGATTCAGCCATCCTACCTTTTACCTCATTTGATGGATGCTGATTTTTCCAGTGTTCTAGCTACTCCCTAGAAGATTTTCATCCATTCTTTCAAACCATTTAAAAACTTTAATAATAAGCAGAAGACTACACATCCTACAATATAAAAGAATAAATATATAACACGTAAGAATTACGATATACAGCTGTGTGTCATGGTACAAATCTGTAATCCTAGAACTATGGGAAGCTGAGGCAAGACGATACAAAGTTTGAGTTCAGCCTGGGAAATTTAGTAACATAGTGAGATCCTGCCTCAAAAAAATTAAAAATGGCTGGAGATGTAACTCAGAGAAAAGGCCCTGGGTTCAATTCCCAGTTCTACCAAAAAATATATATGTATACATATACACTATATATATAATATGTATACCACAGCCAAAAAGAAATGTAATGTTCTTGCTTCCTTTCAATAAAAAAATCTTTGCAGAAAAGATCAGGATTAAAAAGTGTGACTTGTTTTCTTCACTCCTTACATCAGTTAACCATTTTCCTTGAACTTCTTTAAAGTATTTCTAGTATTGACCCAGGTAGCAGTGGTTTTCAAACCGAAGGTTAACATCTGAATCACTGGAAGAGTTTGTTAAAAATCCACATATTCAGGTTCACATACCTGATACAGATATTTGCTTTCCCTTATTTGGCAAGACAAAACAAAAAACAAAAAAACAACAACAGATAAGGAAAAGGGCAATGAGGAAAAGGGCAGGTAGAGAAAGGGCAATGAAAAAGGGAAGAATTTAAATATTGTAGGCTGAACTTAAAGATTATGATATTTGAATATAAACAAAGCTTATTCCTAAGAAGAGTTTTCTGTATTAAATTATGTGGCTCACAAATTCCTTTTTTTTGTTTTTCTTTTTTTTTCAGGGGGGTTACAGGGATTGAACTCAGGACCTTGCACTTGCAAGGCAGGTTGTGGCACCACTGAGATAAATTCCAGACCCACAAATTCCTTTCTATCTATTTTATTAAACTAATCTATAAAACAAAGGGAAAACTTATGTGCTTCTCTAAACTATATGTTGGTACTAAACTATATGTTGAAAGATAGCACTCAAATTTCTACTTTTCCAAATAAACCAACATGTTACACATCTCTCATTCTATTTATCTGGTGTTTCATTTCTTTAAAGAATAAAGCATTGAACAAGAAATAATACCAAGAATCAACAAATGAGATCATATCAAAATAAAAAAAACTCCAAAGGAAACAACCAAAAGAATGAAGCAATAATCTACAGTATGGGGAAAAAATTTGCTAGCTATTCCTCAGACTAACATCTAGAATTTATAAACTACTTCCAAAAAAAATCAGATATCTCAAAATAAAACACCCAATTAAAAACTGGGCAGCCAAAATTAACAGATATTTCTCAAAATAAGTTAAAAAATAAATACATGGGGCTGGGGATTTAGCTCAATGGTTCCGCTGCCTGCCTTGCAAGCGCAAGGTCCCAAGTGAGATGCCCAGTACCAATAAATTAAATAAATAAATAAATGTTCAACACCACTGGCCATTAAAGAAATACAAATTAAAACAACACTGAGGTACCATCTTACTCTAGAAAAAAATGGCTACCATCAAGAAATTAAAGAATAACATGTGCTAGCTGTGGTTGGGGGGTGGGGAAGGAATCCTTCTACATTTTTGGTAGGAATGTAAACAACTACAGCCACTATGAAAATCAGTGTGGAGATTCCTCAAAAAACTAAAAATAGAAATTCCATTTGACTCATCTATTCCTCTTCTGGGTATCTTCCCCGAAGTGCTTAAGTCATCATATTACAATGATACGTACATACTCTTGTTTATAGTAGCACAATTTAGAATGCCTAAACCTTGGAAATGGCCTTTATGCCAATCAACAGATGAATGGATAAAGAAAATGTGGTATTTATACACAATGGAGTCCTACTCTGTCATAAAGAAAGATAAACTTGAGGCATTCTTAGGTAAGTAGATGCAACTCGAGACCAGAATATTAAGTGAAATAAGTCAGACACACAAGTTTAAATATCACATGGTTTCTCTTACGAGAAACTAAAAAAGAGAGACAGAGTGCAAAATAGAAGATAAGTAGGAAATAGGGAGATATTTTTCAAATGGACAGGGGATCAAGAGATGGAAGGAAGAGGAGGGAGGGGAAGTAAAGAGGAATGGGGAAAAAAGAATTTAAGGGGAAAATAGAACTTTTGGGAATGTGAAGGGGACTGAGTTAGAAGGAGCAGGGAGAGAGAGGAGGGTTAGGGGATGAAGAAAAAAGAATTAAAATGAATTATATACACAACTCCCCACAATGAATGGAATTATCATGTACTGCAAACGTACTAATAAAAAAGATAAAATAAATAATTCATTTATGATTTTTAAAAAGAATAAAACATTCATACCAAGAATAAACAAATACATTCACACACACTAAACAACACAAATTCTGGAATCCTGAAAATCTGGGTAAATTTTATTCCTGGGGAGGGGAGGTACTCAGGGATCAAACTCGGGACCTTGCGCTTGTGAAGCAGGTGGTGGCACCACTGAGCTAAGTCCCCAACCCTAGAGTCCTGAAAATCAAGAGGACTTTATCCAATGGGGAAAAAAATTTTACACAACTAATTAAATAATTCTCCACCTTGATTTCTCAAATTCTAGGTTACATTTGAATTAAAATATAATTCTATCATGACAAACTCTAAGTCATAGCCCACTATCTATTTTAGATGCTGATAACATTACAATACTATCAGGATTAGAAGGGTGTGCCTTTAAATTTGTTTTTTTAAATAAAGAACTAAAACATGTTCAACTCTCTTATTCTTCTGCTAAGGGTTATCTCATAGGGCTCTGTTCTGACCAACTTCGCAGAGCATCACCTATATGTCTCCAAAATATCTTTAAAACACATTTGGCAACATTTCAATCCATAATTCTAGAAATACAGGGCAGGATGGATTTCTGCTTTTAAAGATTTTATTCCTTTTATGAAAGTGAAGAGAGATTATCTGCTTCTCTGACTTGCTACTTATTTTATTTATTTTATTTTTGAGACAGGGTCTCTCTATGCAATCCAGGCTCGCCTTGAACTCACTATGTAACCCATACTGGCCTCAAACTCATGGCCACCCTCTTGCCTCAGCCTCCCAAGTGCTGGGATTACAGGCATGTGCAACTGTAATAGCCTGGCAGCTATTTATTTTAGAATGTTTTGACAATTCTTTGAAAACAAATTTTCACTAAAAACAAAATTTAAAAAAGAGACCAAAAGGGAGAAAACAGGATTTTCACATTTCTTATCATGAATATTCTTGGAAGACAAACAAGACAGTTGAATCAATGGATCTAAATAGGAGAACTAGGTACTAAAATAGGATTCAACTGTAAAAGAGAAGCATACTGTGTGGTCAGGCATAAATCAAGGCAAGATTCAAGTAGAACAGAAATTAGAGGTGGAAAAAGAGAAGTGCTAGAACTTAGAACTCAGAATGAGAACAAAGATGTGCCAATATTCTTAAAAGTATAGAATTACTTTCTACCTAAATCTATAACACAATTCCCTAGTGAACCAAGCTTATAGTGTGGACAGTCCACACTTGTGTCTCTCTACACACACCAATAGGTAGAGTGGTAAAAATAAAATATAGAATGCATAAAAATGACAACCACCTAGGCATACATGAATTGGCACGTCACCTACATTGAAAAAGTATGAATTTAATTTTTGCTTTCAACAATCTCTAAAATGATAATCAAGCTGGGTGTGATGGCACACACCTGTAATCCCAGTACTCGGGAGGCTGAGGCAAATGGATTACCATGAGTTCAAGAGCAGCCTAGACTACATAGTGAGTTCAAGTTCAGTCTAAACTACATACTGAGACCCTGTCTCAAAAAACCAAAAATAGTACCAAAAAAACCTCACACAAAAATAAATTAAATAAAATGATGACCAACTGAACTATACGTGGATAATATCAGATTCTAGACAGCCTTTGTATTTCTCCAATTAAAATAGTCTCTAAATTTACTGAGTTTAAACAGGAAGAAAGGAGAACAAAGAAGACAAAAGAATAAGCAAGAGTTGGTTTTTATCTATGTTTCCTTGTTTGAAGTGGTTATCCTCATTTCTCCCAAGAATGTATTTTCAGACTTTTTTGTTTTGCCTTCTAGAGGCTGAAAGGGGTGGGGTGGAGGATAAAAACATCTATTTCAACAAATTCTGCTAAATGTATGCCACGATGTTGTCTCTACTGTCTTTCCCATACAATTCTTCACCAAAATCAATGGCCATCACCTGGAAGTGACAATATTCCTTTAGAACTCCCTTAGAACATTCCTACGCTGTTGCTGTTTTCCCAACCTGTTAATAGAACTCTTAAGACCCTTATCTTCTAAACTGCACACACAACCCAGTCCTTTAATGGGCCTAACTTAAATTGAACATAGTGTTATTAATTTGTATGTTTGAATTTTTTCATAAAGCAAAAATAACCCAGATTCATTATCTCCCTCTCCTCCCCCACCCCTCTGTTTCACGCATATATGTTTTTGGAGAGGGTTTTGATACATAGTCCAGGCTGCCCTCCAGCACACTATGTATCCCAGGCTGGCCACAAACTTGAAGTTCTGCCTCACCTTCCAGAGTGCTGGGATTACAGGTGTGTATCACCATGCCTGGCTTCCAGTTTATGTTAAATCCATGTTAACATGCCACAAATGTTTCTACTACTCTCCTGGTCAAAGGTGAAGAATGAATTCTCACTATTATATCCTGTTCCTATCTTGGTGTAGTGCTTTATGTCATGGACTCAAAGGAAATACTGTCACCTTCATCTTGTGCCAGAGTAAAAACAGGATCAGAAACCAAGATCATAAAATAACTCACTATCACAAAGGTTTCTGAACTTTTACTCACTACAGATCTAAACACAGTTTTTCTTTTCAGTGCTGAAAGATTATAGACAATAGTGAAAAATCCAAAGACTGTAAATGTATAAAATTCTTTTGAACTAGAACTTGACAACTACAAAAAAAAAAACAAACCCTATTTTTGCCTTACATTTGTCTAATAATACACCTTAAATGTCAAGCTCTCATTAGCTACAATCAATGTTTAGTTAATTCCAAATGGAACAATATCTTGGAAATCATTTATTGTATTTTTGTCCCTAAGATACCTAAACAATGTCTATCACTCTACATATTACTTGGAACCTTAAATATGGTTGTCATTAACACTTCTTCCAAGATTTCTTAGATATGCCAATAGGTAGAAAGTGTCATGTTCTTTCAAGGAACTTTCATTCAAGGTTCCTTTTCCAGGTTCCTTTTGATGGTATAATATTCTAAGTTTTCTTGGCTGTGACTTTGTTCCTTCCCGCTTTAACCTGCAGAGTTCTGCTTACCGCTGGAGCAAGGAGGCCCTTTGGGGTTTTTTTAGACCCAGTGCTTCAACAAAGAGCTACTTATCCTAGATGGTCACAGAGCAAAGAGTGGACCTTGGGAAGGTAAATGGCTATAAAATTTGGGGAGTAGGTAAACTCTTGGGGTTCCAGCTGTTACAATTCCAAGTGTTGGGGTTCGAACTCAGGGTTTCAATCCTTAGGAAAGGGTGGAAAGAGAGCCTAAAGCAGAATCCTTTTGGGTGCTGCTCGACACAGAAAGGGCTAAATGCTTAGGAACCCTTTCGGGCAGAAGCACTAAGGGCCTGGCGCGCTGGTGCCTTTAGGAATGAAGGAGGTGACAGGACACCTGCAGTCCCAGGGAGCACAGAGCAGTGGTTCTCTGAAGCCCTTGGACATTTCTAAGGTGCGACGGCCAGGCGCTCTGCAGTGACAGTTGCTCCCTGGCGCCCCTACACCCCGAGGAGAACAGGTTGGGCCCAAGTAGCCCCTACTCACCGTGCGGCTCCAGCCGGGACCCGGCGGGCTGCGGGGATGACTCCTGGTGCTGCAGAGGAGAGGTGGAGGCAGAGGCCGAGACCGAGGCGGAGGCGGAGGCTGATGTGATGAGCAGCCGCTGGAAGCGGTTGGGCGGACGGCAGGGCACCTCCAGGCCCGCCGCCAGCTTGGCCTTGTTGGCGCTG